CTTGTCTTGTCTTGTCTTGTCTTGTCTTGTCTTGTCTTGTCTTGTCTTGTCTTGTCTTTTTATTGTTTATTGTGAGTCATTCAGAGTTGGTTTGGAGTTGGGCAGTACCTAAATTGGATTAAATAAATAAATAAATAAATAGTGCTCTAATTATTGTTTATTCCAATTAGATTAACCCTTTCAATATTATTATGTAGGATTGCATATTTCAGCCATGTAAGTGTGGGCAGCAAATTATTACTACATTGCCTGTTACCTACTATATCTCCTGCAACAAAGGATAACTTCCTGGATACCTGGCCATTATACAAGGCTAAGGAGTACATATTAGCTAGATGAGCTCTGCTGAGGAAGCACATGAGATCATCATTCTCTGAAGATCACACATCAAGTGAAAACCCACATGACAGCTCTGCTGAGGAAGCACATGAGATCATCATTCTCTGAAGATCACACATCAAGTGAAAACCCACATGACAGCTCTGCTGAGGAAGCACATGAGATCATCATTCTCTGAAGATCACACATCAAGTGAAAACCCACATGACATCTCTGACACATGACAAAAGCAAAGCAGTTATCTTATTAATGTAGCGATAGTAATACTGGTCTGCATTAAAAGTGACTGTAAAAATTATTAAAATAACTTTCTGGTATGAATTAGATACTTAGATGCTCTGTAAATGTGCTAAATATTGCTACACACCATTTTCTTATTTTTCAATATTAGAACAAAATACTAAAATTTTTAACATTTATTCAGAAATCTGGGAATCCTCCTGCCTTCTCTAAGAGCTGAGATCAGAAGAACAGCAAACCTTCTTGGAAACCTCACTGATATGTATCTGAACTCCCAAGTCATGAGGCCTGGCCAAGGACCTGAGGACACCCATGGCCAACTTACAGATTTCTCTTTTCTTTTTCTTAGCAAACTACTTTCCTTCCCCAAACAAGTCAAGCCTTATTTAATCTGTCCAGTTAGAACATATGGCCCTGCTAGATAGCAGCACCAGCTGATCTTAGCTGATCTCAGATAACCCAAGCAGCGTCAGCCTGATTAATACTTGAATGAGAAACGTCAGAGCAATAGACCAGACTGGGAGTTTGGAAAAACATAGCAGAACAAGACAATGGCAAGGCAGTGGCAAACTACTTCCATATTGTCCCCAAGAAGTCACCAGGAGTCTAGCTTGACTCAGGGGAAAAATTATCTTTACTTTTATCAGAACACATAAACAGAGAAGGACTTACATATCATATATTTTGAAATACATGGGAATTGTAGCTACAGAACTGCTTCTTCACTGGTATGCAGCATCTGTCTCTCCTAGTAAAAGGTTGAGGCTTCAGTGTGACATCCCCACATTCCCAAATCTAGTGCTTTCCCAGCTTTCTTCACCATCCATAATTAGGGCCAGGCAATATATGCCTATGGATTAATATTTAGTTCACCTTCCACACTCCATGCACAAGCAGAAAATGGACATATAGTGAGTATCCCTATCATCTAGAGTACAAAGCAAAAGAACTACCTTCTCAGTTGGAGCAAACATTAAGTTACATCCTTTGATATGTATACAGTGCAGAATATTTGTCCATTAATACACTCTAACCACTCTTCTTTACTTACAGATGAAATGGTGCTTAAAGTTTAGTCATTAAGGAAATAGTGGAAGGAGAGATAAATGACTTTTTTTTTAACTACAGTATGCATCCTTTTACAGTTTTTCCCTAATTACAATTATTTGTTTTCACAATAAAAGCTTTGGATCTGTGCCAGTGATGATGCATTACCCGAGCATCATCTGCAGTTTCTTCAATCTGGATAATGTTTGGATTTAGGGGAAATGTGGCAGTCCAACTCTTGCAGTGAATGATTCATCGTTGACTTAGCGGATATAATGAGGGACAGTCTTAAATTAAATAACTTATTAAAATATTGATGGCAATTATTGCAAGACAGAGCCAACTGGTTTCCATTTGAGAAAGTATTAGAAAGGATGTGGGTTGTGGTTTGAAAACAATCAAAAAGTATTGCTCAATAATTAAACACCTTACTAAACATAATTCACAGAGGGCTGTCCCACATGATCATTGAATGAACATTTGTTTTTGATTTACTGCGAAAAATCTGCAGATCTTCTATTACATTTTCAGAAAATATGAAAATTCTCTGTGAGAATATCATATTTTCCCAGCACTTTTAAGGTGACTTTTTAACTTTATTTTAGGAAAAGTCACAAGGTGACTTTTTAACTTTATTTTAGGGAAAAAACTGTATTTTGTCAGGAAGCAAGTACATCAATAGTATGACCATTATGGAAAAGGTGGGCTTTGATATGTCACAGATACTTGTGACTTGATTAGTGACAAATGACAGTCACCCCTACTCTTCATACATCAGTGTAATTAATGGGTGTGTGAAAACACTCTCTCTCCCATGGATACTCTTAAAAATTGGGAAACACCAATCCTGTTGGTTTTGTTCAATTTTTTAATTTCATAACTCCCCTCAGCTATCTACCTCTGTTGTGGTGTTAAGAAAGATTTGGAAGGGTGAGCAGGGTCACCCTGTACTGCAAGGGTATTTCCCTCCATGTCTCTTGTGTTGATCTTGCATTATTGGCTTTAGAAGGCACTTCCAGAACTATTATACACACCCAAAATATGGGGGGGGGCCTTTAAGAGACAGAATTAAATGAACCACAAAGTCATGTCTTTCTGTAAAACACTTTTCTCTGCTTTTGTTTTAGGGCCCCCTTGGATTGGATGGCAAGCCAGTAAGTAATGACTTAAATAATTAATCCATGTTACAAGTATGTGCCTATCGAGAGTATGGAAGATTACCTTGACAGAGGTATGCAGTGGTTGTTGCCTAGGCAAAAGGGGCTGTAGCATTTTTAAAGTCCAGAACTACAAGTTGTAACATTCAGAAGTGGCTCAGGCAGACACCTCCCTAATTCACTTGAACTATAAGAAGGAGGAGGAGGAAATGCAGCACAGTCAGGCTTGCAAGATTCTAATAGAAGAGAATATCTGTAGCTCAGGGTTGAACTATGGAGTCCTTGGGTTTCTCTGAGCTTGGTTGTTTCTTGCAAACATTTGAACATGAACTGAAGATATTACCTAGTCGGGTAACGAAACATCTGCAAGAAAACAAGCAAGCTCAGAGAACACCAAGGACTCCACATTGCAAGTTTCTATTATTATAGCCCATCTGTTGACTAAGATGGTTCTAGTCTTCCTGTGGAGTTGATTTCCTGGACTGGTCTACCTAGTGGGGCTGACAGTGCCCTAATGCTTCACATTAATGCGGAATTGCTTGTCTCCAATTATCTCTGCCTGTTCCACCGAATCTGACAAAGTAGGCATGCTCTAGCTCCCATCCATCAAGCAGTGCCATATGGTGGGACTCAGGAAGCATGCCTTCTGGGTCATGGGGCCTCCAATGTCAGGTGAGCCCATTTTAAGTGTTTTTCTGTGTTGGTTGGAGTTTGGTTATGGCCCCCGAGTACACCTGTGGTTTATGCTATTTTCTGCTGTTCATTTGATGTTTATTATGTTTTTTTTAATCCTTTGTTAGTTGCCCAAAGTCATAAATGTGAGTTAGGCAACCATATAAATTGATTAAATAAATAAATAAACATGGATTAATTAAAAGTGCCATTACCCAGGTATAAATAAAAGAATAATGGGAAGTTGCTACAGTTCTTCTGAATAATTTCTGAAAATCATTTATTTAGTCTGTAAAACCAAATAGGTAGTTTTACCTAAGAGGCATGCTGTTCTGAAAGTAGTCCAACAATCTGGCTGTTAGGTTTCCCTTGGTCTTGACAGCATGCAAGCACTCTGCGTTGAGCACACATGAAGCTCCATTGATGCATAAGAAAACTTGTAATTAATACAGAATTGTTATCTATGCTCAAGTGGATTCAACAGGTGTGAAGGATAAAATGATTGACTACTAGTCAACAATGGCTGTATATCAACTCCCAGACCACTTGCTGGGGGATGCAAGCAAGGGGAACCCCTTGCAGTTATTTCCTGCTTGTGGGTTTCCTGTAAGCAGCTGTATGTTAAACTAGGTGGTCATTTGATTGGATCTTCTTATGTTTTTAAGAGAGAGATACCAGCAGAACAAGTAAGAGGAGCAAGTAAAAAGCTTGCAGAAATAGCTGGGTGGAAAAAGGAGTCTAAAACAGATCAATAAAGTCTAAACTGATACAGAAAGCTGGTTGATTCTAGAGATGTGAAGAATGGAAACAGTGAGGGAGAGATGTAACGGAATATCTGGAATCCTAACTCTGAAAGCATTCTAGGTTGCAGGCCTCAAATGTAGTACTGGCTCAAGGTATGTGGCACCCCTAGCCCACACTGACTAGGGTGCCACCTCCCACCAATGCAAAGATTTGCATTTTTAGAACAGCCTTTGTTTTCAGAAGGAGCTTAGGCCAGTCCCTACTCAGCCTTAACGTAGAGCTGGCCTGCTCACACGTATGTGTGAAATGGAAAACTGGAGGCTTCCTGCCTGGCTGCATTTTTTTTTTTTTTTTTTTTTTTTTTTTTTTTTTTTTTTTTTTTTTTTTTTTTTTTTTTTTTTTTTTTTTTTTTTTTTTTTTTTTTTTGCATCACTTGTAATGAATATTTCTCAAAAGGAATACTTCTACTGGGTCTGCTGATTTGACACTACTTTCAAAAGGCTTTTCTTTCCATGTTCACAAGAGGATATAGTATCATTTTCCTTTTAAGTACAGTGGTACCTCGGGTCACGAACGCTTCTGTTCACGACCGATTCGGGTCACGAACAGCTCCGTTCGCACAATTTTGCCTCTGTTTGCGAACGCCGCATCGGGCGGCCGACAGGATCCGCGGCCATTTTCCCTCCCGTGACACATGGTCATGGGGGACTCTCCCTCCAAGCAATAACCGCCTCCCCACCCGCCTTCCTGTCCTCCATGCCAGAAGTCACGTTGAGAACTGTTAGCGTTCTCTCTCTTCGTGCTGTACTTTGTGTCATATTTTTGCGGTTTTAAAAAAAAAATACATATGGTTCAGAACGGATTAACCGTAATTACATTGAACCTTATGGGAAAATTTGATTCGGGACATGACCAAAATTGGGCTGCGACCAAATTCGGAGGGGTCAGAACGGATTAACCATATTTACATTGAACCTTATAGGAAAATTTGATTCGGGTCATGACCAAAATTGGGCTGCGACCAAATTCGGAGGGGTCAGAACGGATTAACCATATTTACATTGAACCTTATAGGAAAATTTGATTCGGGTCATGACCAAAATTGGGCTGCGACCAAATTCGGAGGGGTCAGAACGGATTAACCATATTTAC